TTAAGTACATCCTCAGTAATATATTTTGATAAGCACTTTATATTGTATATCTCTATCTGTAAATGGGTGATTTTTACTTGATATTCCCGGCGTCTAATACATATACTGGCAGTCAAAGAATCTACTACTGTGTATCAGTTATTATTTATATTTGATAGAGCAATATTTTATAAAAAACATTCTATAATAAGTTAATTGACTTTAAATATATATAATTACGAATTAGGATGTATAATCTATGGCTAATCGTAATAAAACATCAGTATTATAAAATGTTTTTAATTAACTAAACTGGTAGTAAATTGGAAAATAAATTGTAGGATTCAACCAGTAGGTATTCTTACAAAATAATGCCATATTACTGTCTTTAACAGTAAAGTAAAGGAAGAAGATCAATAGTCTAGTCTCCGCATCAAAATAAATAAAAATTATTTTAATTCATTCTTTCTACTATCACGAAGCGTTCGTAAAGTGAAAGGTAAGTACTAAGTAAGAATTACACTTTAAACCCCTGAAATATTTTCGATAATACTTTTTTTAATGGCTAGTTACTATTATTGTTGAAATAAATTTATAAATGAATTATGTGTTTTTAATTTAAAAATGCAATATAATCTGATAATTGGCAAAAATAAAGCAAACGAGAGCATATTTAGATCATTTATTGAATAATCTTTGATATTGGATGTGATTTATTGATGAATTAAACAAAAATTTTCTGCAGAAGTTCGATTTTAGTTCGTATACGTAGGTCGATATTAACCGTAAAAACGTAAAAAACACCATAAATAATAATTTTTAGGCAAAAATAAAGCAAGCGGGAGTTCTTTATATCATTTATTAGTTAATCTATACCATCAGTTATCATTTATCGGTGAATTAAGCAAAAATATTTGGTAGAAGTTCGATTTCAGTTCCCAAGCAATCGACAGGTAGCTATGCATGGGTTATTTTTGGGAACCGAAATCGAACATTAGGACAAATTTTTCGCTTAATTCATCAGTAAATGACAACTGATAACGATAATTAATTAATAAATGATAAGAACTAGCTGTGGCTTGCTTTATTTCTACCAAAAAGTTATTATTTATGATGTTTTTTACTTTTTTTCCGTTCTAGGTCGACCCATGTATAGGAATGAAAAACGAACGAATCGAGTTGAAAATTTTTGCTTAATTAATTACTAGAAAAATTAGTACAATTAAACGTTGCAAGGCCGAACGATGTAGAAAAACGAAAAACAAGACTGCGATATAGTTGATCCCGCGCTAAAAATTGAAACTTTTAATAAGACCTTTTGCGACTTATGCTCTCCTAATACAAATTTTCAAATTTAACAAAATTTTCAGTTTTCCGTCATATACGAGGGCCGGTCGAAAAGTTATGGAAAAAATACTTTCAAAAAGACCTTTTGCGACTTATGTTCTCCTAATACAAATTTTCAGATTTAACAAAATTTTCAGTTTTGCGTCATTTACGAGGCTCGGTCGAAAAGTTATGGAAAAACAAAATTTCAAAAACCAATTTTTGATTTTTTCAATTACTTTCTGACCAACCCTCGTATTTGGCTCGAAACCGAAAATTTTCATAAATTCCAAAATTTGTATTAGGAGAGCATAAGTTGCATTGGATCTTTTTTCAAGTTCAGAATTAAAGTGCGGGATTAACTTCACCTTTCTTACAAATAGTTCTGCTCCTGAGCATGTGATGGTTCTGGTAATTTTCAAAAATTTGACACAATTTCTTTTCTTTTTACAGTATTTGTGCTATTATTTACTGTTGTTCAAGGCAGAGGACAAATTAAAAACACACTTTTATTGATTTATTTATTTAAATACTAAAGAATGATAATACAATGAAAATACATTTATTATTTAGAAATATGATTTACATTTATTATAAAGTACAAATTTATTTCAAATAATAACAATACATCAATATAAACAAATTATCGAAGGTATAATACATTCTAACGACTCATAAAAGTTAAAAATAAAATACCTGTAAGAGACATGAAAATCAATAAAATTTCAAAGAAAATACAATTATTATACATAAACTGTCACACCGTTATTATTTCAATGCAAGATTAGGGAGAAAAAAGCCTCCCTAACCTTCTGTGGCCTCCGCATCTCCCCTTATAGCCACCCTATCCACCCAAAACGAACATTAATTTTGAAAGGTTAACAAATAATTAACTTAATTTAACAATTATACCAAAAATTCAATTTAGAAACATTTTAAATATCAACCTAAGTTATGATTATAAAGATATAACAGTTTATGCAGTAAAAAACAAAATACCTGTAAGAGAAAGACAAGAAAACACATGAAATTTCAAAGAAATTACAATAAAAAGCAAAAAAGAAAATGATGTCTTCGTTCTTCTTAGGAAATACCTCATAATCTGAAAGCGAATAGTGCAATTACAAGGACTAACGACAAATACTAATAGCTTTGGTAGAGAAGATCGGACAGATTTCGCCAAGGCAAGCTGGGCAGTCGCCTATTGCTCCTATTCCAGATAACCCACTGTACCCTGTCTGAAAGGAAGTAACGCTAGAGTAGACTCGCGAAAAGTGTATAAGACACTTTTAAGATCAACTAAATAGCTAAGCCCAAGGGAAGTCGTTCGGGGAGGCCCTCCCTAATTCCACAAGGGTGAGAAGAAACACACACGATAACGAAACGTTGAATCATGTAGAACTCGTAGGGTAAATGCAAAGCAAATTAGGAAGAATATGCAGTAAGCTAAGCGAAGAGGTAAGCAAGGTTAGACTATACTACAACTACTAAACGTGTTATTTCTACTACTACACTACTACTACATACAAAAAAAAAAAAAAACATCTACAATCAACAATTACTTCAAATAAAATGAACAAAAATAAGCATGCAAAATAAAAACTAATTCAACTACAAAACAAACATGCAAAATAAAAAATTAATTTGAATAAAATTGACTTAATGAATTCTACTAAATAGAGCATGCAAGATAAAGAACTATTTTAACCATGGGGTCATCTGTCTTCTCCAACGTCGATCTGAAACAGATACGGTGGTAACAGATTAATAATGAGCAATTAAAATTAATTATATCAAGTATTCTCACCTTAATTAACTGTAGACTGTAACATTCCAAAGTTTGCATGCGTGAAAAGGAAACCAAATCCGGGAGGAATATCATAGCAGAAAATATGTTGTTTCACTGGAACTTGAATAAATCTCCAGTTGCTCTCACTCGTCGATTGAAAATTAACCGCATAATGTTGCAAGGCGAAGACAAAATCAGCAAATCAAGAAAATCCATGAAAGACCACACCCATGTAGACATTACTTGTTTCAGTAGGACCAAACTGAATTGTAATTCTCTCGTTTGCTGGGCAATCTGCAGAAATTGACAAAAACAATATTAATTAAACCATTACTTGAGGATTAAGCATTAACACAGCTAAAAATATGGAGCAACAAGCAAGTAAAGTATCTGAATCATAAAATGGCGACAACTGACATAGATCATAGACATCATAGATGAACTATTTCAATTTAAAGCGTGGACAATAGATATTTGTTAAGGGCAACACCACAAAAGCATAATAACCTCAATTTCTGCTGAGAACAATAGATAATTATTAAAATGCTATAGATTCACTTTAACCTAAATTTATACTGTGGGCAAAAATTATTAAGAAATGCAATAAAGATTAACAATAAAGAGCAATTAATATTATGTCACGCATTCTCACCTTAATCAACTGCAACCAAATCCACGAGGACTACCACTGCAAACAAATCTGTTGTTTCAAAGGTTTCCAATTTCCAGTTGCTTCTCTTTCACAGGTCCAAAATTAACTGCATTATGTGAAGACATCAAAAGCAGTGGTGGTTTCAGTAGCATCAAAATTAATTGTAACTCCATCTCATTTAATGTTGATTGTAGACTCTCACGCTCGGCGTCGAATATAGGCGAGTTGTAGTCCAGGCAGATGAGCCGTAGTCTGTTGAGATGTTTTCCCGACGTTTCATCCACAACTGTGGTGAACATTTTCAAGAGTTTTTCAGTCAACCACGGCCCGAACATCAACTTATCTATATCCATCTCCTTTGTTGGGCAATCTATAGAGACGGACAAGAAAATGTAATTAATTATAAGTTTTAAAACAAGTAAATCAGTTATATTTTAATGTGCTGATGTAGCTGTATAGTTAAGAAAATAACTTTCACACTGAAGGAAAGGTGGATTTCACATTAATTCTTCTGTTCTGCTTCTGCCATTTCTTAAAAGCTGTTTAAAAATTGTCTAATAAAAATATATTACAAAAATTTAAGAAATTGAAGTTTCTGGGACCTCATTTATAATTTTTAATTGATCTGTTACATACCAGTTTATTGTCATAAATCCTTCCTTTAGCAACTCCAAGGGAAGAAACCATGAACCAGACTTCACTTCATCATACTTCGATTCCTTCTCATTTGTCTCCATTTTCACTTATTATGCTTAAATCATACCTGTTGAATGAATATTACCATTGTTAATATCCTATGCCTTCAGAAATTTTCGCCCAGCTCATTAAAAGCATCCTCGGAAATAAGAATTACAGTCTGCCTGCCACAGCTACATCTGTATATGAGTAATTTGTCTTTCTAATCCAAGGATGTTATCTTATCGTCCAGGGTTTGACCAGTATAGGTTTGACTATACTGTTGAAAAAAAAGAAGAGCCATTAAAATTCAATGTATAGAATAATAATTTCAGTAGAAATTAGGATTTTTAAAGGCAGGATATTTTTGAGGAATATTTTTCATTTATATATCCAAATATATACACAAATAAACTTCTCATGCTTAAATCAAAACAGAATAACGAATTAAGATTAAATACCTTCAGGTGCCATTTCCGAACATGAACTGCAAAAACGTTAATGGCGACTCCTCGAAAATCTGCGTCAAGTCAAGTCACGCCAGGGCGGAAGTGTTCCGTAGAGACATGATAGAGAAGTCGATTGTCTTTTAGTTCATCAATTTCCCACTAACAGTCGTAAAAATAAATTATTAATTTTGTTATTCGTCATGGAAATCATATTGTAATCGTAGTTTCATTCCTATAAGACAACTAATGCCTTTTATTATATGATTTTAAAATAATAATACAATATAATTTTTACTTCTGCTTAAAAAATGACCGATTCGGATGTAGCTATACGTGGGTCGTTCTTTTTTTCCGAAAATAACGAAACAAAATTGTAAAATAACAGTTTTTAGCATAAATAAACTAAACCGAAATGTTTTTAGAACATTTTTTTTAAATCTAAAAATATCAATAAAAACAACTTTTTTTGTGGCTGAAGATGTCCCACTTGAACCAACTTTTAACTGATTCGAAAAAAATAAATCATTAAATGGTATGAAATCATGTTTATTACGACAGATGAAATGCACATTGTGCTGCTGTTGATTCAATTCTACTTATTAAGTAAAACACAGCAAATAAAGATAATATAAAAAAAGCAGAAAACGTACATAATGGTCCTCTATGGTCCTCGTTAAGCTCATTTTGTTTTACACATCGACGTTTAATATATGTCTATGGTTTTACATATCTTTTGTCTATGTGGTAAATTAATTCCAGTTAAATTAATATATGTCTGTGGTTTTACATATCTTTTGTCTATGGGTTAAATTAATTCTACTTAAATTATTTTATATAACCTATTAAATTGTTGTTTTGTGTATAATTTGCTGAAAAATTATACGAATTTTATCGTAAAACCTGACTATTTATCAACAACATCCACGTTAATTAAAAAAAAATAAATGTGAAAGTTATGATCAGTTAGCACATAAGCATCTGAAATGTTTATTTACTCGTCGTGAAATCAACTGTTTGATGTACATAATTCTTATATTGCAACCCAGTGATTTATTCACAACAACGTTAATTATAAACAGCAAATTGAAGAGATGTACTTATAAAAACTGATTTCAATTAATAATCTGTTGCAGAACAGATGTGCTTGATATTATACAGCTGTCAAAAAAATGGCCTTTTAGAATGTTTTAAAACGATTATTAGATTATTTAAAGGTGAAGAAATAGTCAATTCAAGAGTGCTGTTACCTTTAAAATGGCTAATCACTATGAAGTTCCAAGTTGGTAATAAATACTTTTAAATGTTTGTGTTATACACAGTAAAATATGTATATGGTGTTTTAGGGCAGGCAAGCCACCAGTTGGCCTGCACTTGGATGTATTAAAAGGAGAAAAATTGATACAGAAACTTATGATTGATGAAAAGAAATGCTATTTATTTGGACGTAATTCTCAAATGAACGATTTTTGTATAGACCATGCTTCGTGTTCCCGTGTGCATGCTGCTTTAGTTTATCATAAGATTTTAAACAGACCTTTCTTGGTTGACCTAGGAAGCAGTGAGTATCCTGTTTTTATCCAAAAACAATAGAAGCATTGGTATTCTAGTGTACATCATTGTGTATGTGCATGGAAGTACCTTAGTATTATTGATTTTTGAGAACATTTAAATATTGTTCGGCACAGGCAAAGTTTTTGGTAAAGGATATCTATCTGACCAATTAACAGCAAGAAGAAAATGGGTAATAAATTCTTAAATAATTTTGGACCTGCTATCTTCCTACATGTAAGCAAAATATTCTTCAATAATATATTGCCTGCCAAACAAGATTAAAAACAGATGAATACTTTACTATTACAGGATTTACACTTGTTATATTTAAAATATCATTTAATAGCTTGATCAAATCAGTGTTTTCAAAAAAGTGAAATGATATATTAACTGTTTATATTTTGAAAATTGAAAATGAATACCAATGCAAATGTAATCATTTAACGACGCTTGTTTACTAAATTGCTTTTTTTAAAGCCCATGGAACATTTATTGGTTCATTACGATTAGAGAGTTATAAACCTACTCAATTACCTATTGGATCTAATTTTCATTTTGGGGCATCTACTAGAATGTACATTATAAGAGAGAGACCACAGACAGGTATAAGACCAATTATTGATGAAATTGAAAAAGTAGGAGAGGAAGGAGAAGGAGGTTTGCTTGGCCTTCCAGAAACTGAAACTGAATTAGATGTAAGATAAGAGTTTGAACAATTTTATATAATAAAATTGTGCATTTTAAATAATTTGTAACTTTTCTCATATAACAAATTAAAACGTCGATTAGTATAGGACATAAATAATACATGGTTTATATTTTATATCAAACCTTAGGTATGAAAATTTTCTTAAATAAATTTTAGAATCTGACCGAGTTTAACACTGCCCATAATAGGAGAATATCAATGTTGGGTATAACAGATGACACTGATAAACGAAATAGTAGAAAACGAAAGAAAAAGATGGTCAGTTTCAATGAGGACGAGGAAGTAATCAATCCAGAAGATGTTGATCCAAACGTTGGAAAATTTAGAAACTTAATTCAATCCACAGTTGTTCCGTCATCCCAAAAACGATCACGGTTTGACAATATGGGTCTCAATAATACTGATTTTAAAATTCCTCGAAGCATTCATACAACCATGCCGCAATTGTACCACGATTTGCCTCCCGAGCAAACTGTAACTTCCAGTGGTATTGGAATGTACACTTCATTAACTTCGAAGTTGGGAATTGTGCTTCCAAACCCTGCACCTGACGTAGATATGGAACAAAACTACACGAAACAAACCACGTCATTAGTGACGCCCTCAGTACCATCGAATGACTCGTTAGAACCGAAAAAGAAGAAATATGCAAAAGAAGCATGGCCTGGAAAGAAACCTACTCAATCATTGCTTGTTTAATGAAGTAATTTCTAATAGAAGTAATTAATATTTAATGATTTTTATATTGTGGATGATTATGTTCTGCAACTATTTGTTTTGATTTTACTGTCTGCATAATTTAAATTAGACAAATAAAATTTTTAATTTTTTGTTTTCTTGTTTCATATAGTTGATTATGTGTGCCCATTCGTTAAGACTGTTTATCCCTTTAATTATCATCAAGTTTCTATTCTTTCAATTTTGTGAAACAAGAAAAATTAAAACATATAATTTCTAAAACTCTGATTTGTCAAGTTGTAGTTCAGTTCTAAAAGTGAACTACCCTACTACTAACTAATAAGTTTCATGTTTTTTGTACAAAAACTTATTTACCTCCCAAAAGCAAATCAAAAGGAGTAATTGTTGATGGTCAAGAGATTAATTGAGAATGTTGGGACTGAAACGCGTTTTAGGTTTTTATATTCTTTACATATATTTTGAGTTTCAGTGCTTTATTTATGTATTAGCCTATATTTTAGACAATTTGTTACGTTTTTCATGAGGAAAAATGCTACTTTTTCTTTTATCATTTGTTTGTTTAAATCTGCAAAAATGTTTCCAATTACGACTCAAGAAAACTAGAAAGTGGCAACAGTTTAACATCCATCAATGAAATTAAAATAACTATGTAGTTTCATCATTGTTCAATTTTTCTTTATATTTCAATAATATTTACAGGAAATACTGCCTTCAGTAACTTGCGCACAAGATTTAAAGACGCAAAGTTTAAATATTTGTATGTAACACATTTTTTAGAGTACTTTCTTTTAAAAATGTTCAGTTTACTGTAATACTGTTTTCTCGAGTGTTACACAAATTTAGGAAATCAAGATTCCAAATGTCTCTTGGTAATTTTATTAAACATTAAACATTCTTGCCAATTAAAAATATATTACATATTTACTTTATTAAGTAAGTTTGGATGGGAATCAATGGCAATAAAAATTAACCAGTACAATTATTTACCATAGCAATTACCTTTTGGTAGATCTATTGTTGTTGCTGTGGCTCTTTTTCCTTTTTTTCCGGTTTATGTATAATATCAGTTAATTTTATTTCATGATCTGAATCTGAACTTTCTTCTGAAGATGAAGCACTGTAATAGCCCATTCCTGGCAAAACACCAATACATTTCATGACTGAGTTATGTCCATGACTTGCTTTATTAATTAAACAGTTCTTTGTGCTGTTTGCTATTAGCTTTCTTTTTCTTGATGAGTGTAATGAAGATGCAACATTTTTATCTGAATTATCACAGGATTTATCTTCAGAAGATTCACTTTTAATTTTTTTACATTCAGATTCCTCCTTAATATCAATATCTGCATTTGATACTTTAGATTCACTATCACTAAGCTTATGTTTAACTGCAGAAGATTTTGCTACAACAGCTCCTTTTAGCAATTTTGTTTGTGATGTTCTGTTACATGGTTGTGTTTTTGACTTAGTGGTTGTTGTGTCAGTTTGTTTCTTTTTTTCTACGTTTTCTTCGTTAAGACTTGCCACTCGATTACGATAATCATTCAATTCCTTTTCCTCTTCAATCATCTTTCTTCTATCAACAGCCATTTTAGTTTTATCAACTAAATCAAGAAACTCAATTTCATCATCATCCAGCCCTTTAATCATGTTTTCTGTAACGTTCAAGAAAGTAATTAACTAAAATAATTTATGTTTTTAAAAATACCTACTCACTTAGTTTATGAGCTTCCTCATATTCCAAATCCCTCTTTTGTTTTTGTTCCTGAAGTCTTTCATATAAACTTCTTGAATCGTATGTCGGCTCTGGAGCCTCTAGAAACCAAACATGCATAATTGTCTTTAATAATAATTTATTGGTATTTTACCTAGGGGATCATCTGCTTTTCTAACTCGTTCCCAATCTTCTTGTCGTTTCTTTTTGGCTGCTTCTATTTCAGTTTCTGTTATAAAACCAGAACTCATTTTGTCTTTTATCCTCAACTGCTGCTCTGCAGAATAATTAAGAAAAGAACGAAATGAAAAATCCTAAGCAAAAGGCACAATTACAGTATATAATTAATTAAAAAAAACTATTTACAGTCAGCGTCGACAAAATAATCTTTACTCAAAACGTCAATGCATATGACATACCATTGACCATAGCCATGAAATAATTATGATCACAGATAACAGTTGTGACTGTAGTAGCATGTAATAGTGTCTCAGATTTAGCTTTTCGGAAAACGTAGTTTTTTAAAATTTAAGCATTAAGCAGGTCATATTTAATATTTTTAAAACTCATAGTACGATAGTAATGTTTATAATTAATGATTTACTGTAATTAGTGCATCAAATACTCTTCATATTACTATCGTTTGATATCAAAATTATCAAGACAAAATTCTCTTTATTTTCATTCCCTGATAAACATGATGGTATGTATATAATGGACCATGCAAAGAAACCTTTCACAGCTTCTTTTCCTTTATGATTCCAATCTTTTTCGTAATGATTACGATCAAATAATAAAAAATAAATCTGTCCTTTTTCTTGCAAAACATAAAATGCATATTATACGATCAATAACTGTGTTGTTTTCTTGAATCCTTGTACAGGACCGGATTGTACTTGTTGATGTTCCAAATTTTAGTTGTATGCTGTAATTTTTTTTTATTTTTATTAGAAGTAATGAACTGAAGATGCGTGCCTAACCGGTCATCGGGTTAAAGACGTTACGATGATAATGATTGTAATGTTACAACAAATTTCAGTAATTTTCTCATTTTTAAACTTTTAAATTGTTATCAATTTTTTAAAGACAAAAGAACTTCAAGAAGTAATCCGCCTGTCTATATATACGTGTATACAAAAAATTATAATTAATTTGCTATTAATTTTATTAAGTAAGCTTTTTATTTTTGCGCACCTGTACAAAATTTTTAAAAATCAAAGGAAAGAGACGAAAAGACACAAACTTGTCTATTATTCTTTGATTTGTGCACTTATTACAAACTTCGATTTACAGCTAAACAGTTCGTAAGAGAGTAAACGCTTTCTGTTTAAAAAACTGCTAATGCGGTCCTGTGCGTCCGTCGGGACGTTCGAGGGATGCTGACGCTGTACCAGTTGAGCGCAAATGAGTCGTCGCCAGAATGGCGATTACCGAAATTTAATTTTTATTTTAATAAAATTTGGTTTCCTGAAAATTGTCTTTAGTGTTTAAAATGCTTTTCAATAAATAGAAGTTCAATATTAACGACATTTAAATAAAGTGCAATTCATTATAATTCTTAGTACTTGTTTCTAAATTTCGGGATTATTGATTTTCTTTCGATGATTAGGTACATTGTGAACAGCGATTTATATAAGCGATTATTGTAGTAATTACGTGTTATAAGTGTCGAAAAAGCGATGTGATATAGTATACCTATTATCTATATAATTAGCAGTGGTAAAACTTTTCTAAAAAAACGTCTTCCAGTAAAAATAACGCGTGAATATGGTAAACCAAATTAAAATCGATATATTTGTTTGATAAAATTATTAAATCAACTGTCTTCCTTGGTCTATTGACTACTATATAAGTTGTTAAAGATGTCGAAATTCGGGAGCTTCCAAATACCACATGTGCAGGCAGCAATGAATGTTGCTTGGCAGACCCTCCGGCAGCAGTTGCCAGAGAAAAAACCATCACCCTCTCCAAAGGGCGAAAAAGTTCACTTCGCCCAAATAAACCACACAACTTCTTCCCACTCCTTTTCGGAACAGCAAGAAATGGACAACGTTAATACCAATTCTGATATTGCAACAAACCCCACGAACCCTTTTCTTCAAGGGTACCAAAGTGGCGCTGGCAATTTTGAAAAAAGGCAGTCAACATTCTCTTCAATGGACATATCAGAGGATGATTTTATAGAAGGAAAAACAGACATAAAAATTAATGAATATCAGGCCGCATGGAATGTTACGAACGCTATTCAAGTAAGTAATGGCGTACTATTTGCCTATAAATATTACGATAATAATTAATAGTAAGGATTGCATTTCTTGTATGCACAGATATAATTAAAAAGTGATGATGTTTCTCTGGAAAACTAATTTTTCATATTGGTTTCAGGGCATGTTTATCGTGTCACTCCCATTCGCTGTAATGAGGGGTGGATACTGGGCTATTTTGGCAATGGTTGGTGTAGCTTACATTTGCTGTTACACTGGGAAAATTTTGGTTGAATGTCTGTATGAGTTTGATCCCCAATCCGGTCAACAAGTGAGGGTTCGCGACTCATACGTGGCAATTGCGAGGGAATGTTTCGGGAAAAAATACGGAGCTAAAATTGTAAATGCAGCACAAATTATAGAACTTCTAATGACCTGTATCTTGTACGTCGTTGTTTGCGGTGATATGATGATTGGCACTTTCCCCGATGGTGCTATCGATACAAGATCCTGGATGATGGTAGTGGGAATATTTTTACTTCCGCTAGGTAAATATTATATTTATATAAAAGAAATTATAAGTGCTGTCAGAACAGGGCAAAGTAGTATTACGTAAATGAAAGTTAGTATCAGCAATTTCTTATGCTGAAGTGTACGATATGTTGCATACCTATTTACAAACAATTCTTTTAAATTTTAACCATTGATTACAATACATCTATTAAAAAACCATAATGGCCGACATCAGTGACAATGACACAACAATTGAAAAAGAATGATGGCCGACAACAGCAACAATTAAAAAGAATGATGGCCGACAACAGCAACAATTAGAAAAGAATGATGGCCGACACTACGTCATAGTGGAGCAATAAAAATGGCTGACTATTGACAATACGAATAAACGTAGAGCTGAAATCTTTTTTTTTTACAATTATATATATAAAAAAAATTGTGAGTGCTGTCAGCACAGGGCATAGTCCAACTATTACTCTCTAATTATTTTAAAGGGCATGAATATAAACAATTAGAATCAAAACGTTTTTCAAACAATGTTTAACACAAACAAACTAATTAAACAAATTGTTCACAAAAGTGAATTTCCACCACTCGAAGCAGTGGTGCTAACAGTTTCGAGCTCGCAGTGACTGACAGGGGGGAAGAACTAGTTTTATTAAAATTAATTATTTCCGTCTACAAGAAAATGTTAGGTAGGTAATTATTGTAGTGGTAACATGTTGACTTTTTTTTAGGATTTTTAAAATCTTTAAAAAGCGTCAGCCTATTGTCATTTTGGTGTACAATGTCGCATATCGTCATCAACGTTGTTATATTGGGTTATTGTCTACTGGACATTGCTGATTGGGGTTGGGGAAAGGTCAAGTGGACTTTAGACCTAGAAAACTTCCCTATATGTTTAGGGGTCATCGTTTTCTCATACACGTCGCAAATATTCTTGCCAACTTTGGAAGGAAACATGGAAGATCCTTCGAAATTCCAGTGGATGCTGGATTGGTCTCACATTTGGGCAGCGATATTCAAATCGCTGTTTGGATACGTCTGCTTCTTGACGTTCCAGAACGATACCCAACAAGTTATTACGAATAACCTTCATTCTCCGTTTTTCAAAGGTCTCGTTAACGTATTTTTAGTAATAAAAGCCCTTTTAAGTTATCCATTACCGTACTATGCGGCATGCGAATTGTTGGAAAGAATTCTCTTCAAAGGACGCCCGAAAACTCCATTTCCTTCCATATGGGAATTGGATGGAGAACTCAAGGTATGGGGTCTTGCATGGAGAGTCGGTGTAGTTGTTTTTACAATACTCATGGCGTGTTTTATTCCGCATTTTTCAATTTTAATGGGCTTTATCGGCAGCTTTACGGGCACGATGTTGAGTTTTATATGGCCGTGTTATTTCCATTTAAAACTCAAACGTCAAGAGCTGGACACGAGAGGAATAGCGTTTGATTATTTTATTATTGCATTGGGTATCCTATTTGGAGTCATAGGGATGTACGATTCTGGAAGCGCTTTGATCAAAGCCTTCGAAATCGGACTACCATTCTAAGTACGCGGTTTGTCTATATTAAAAAATACATACAACCTAAGCACCTAGATACACTTAGAAGTCATAATTACTTGACAATACATCAATGTCTTCCATTATAAATTGGAATAGCGGATAAATTACGGTATATTCATGCTTACAAATAAATATTATTTTTTCTGCTTCCTTTCAATTTTACATGCTTCGGATTTATAATAGATACTATTTTGTAAGTGCTCAATCTCTTTACTTATACGAACATATATATATTTATTTTTTTTTTTTTTTTGTTGTTATTTGAAGTAGCTGCTATCTACAATAATAGTTTTAATTTAATTTAATTTCTTCCACGAAAACGATAAGAGAAGAAGCATCAATGATTTGCTTAAAATAACTTTAAAATGTAACATTCTATAATTTTAGAAAATACTTTACCTGTATGCAATACTTAAAAGAAAAGAAGTCTTCCAGTGGTAAAGTTTTCTTTTTGGAATACTTTATCTAGAATAGGGTAAATTTAATCAGTATAATATGGCTACAGCTGAAGATTAATATTGAAATATATTTTAAAAGAATTTTTATTTATCTCCTCATATACACAAAATATATATTATGTATATTGTTGTAAATTCAGAGTTAGATTTAAGGCTCTTATACGATGTATTTGACCCACAACACATCCCCTTGTTCCCTTGGGTCTAATTTTTAATAAGTGCTCAAATACATCCTATGTCTTCCATAAAAGCATTATTATAAAAATGAACTAAAGTTACGTATATAAGTACAATATTGGTAGTGATTAATTAATGGTATTATAAAAATATTGTTACTGTTATTTTAATAATGCAAATGAAGGGAGATACCAATATTTCTCATTTTGGTTTAGTTTTAAGTTTATCGTTAATCTCCTCAACAGAACAATGAATAAGTACGTTAAATTTAGTGGTACCTACCTATAGCTGTTTGTTCTAATAATAAAGATTATTATTTATTTGCTGCTGAAATCAATACCCAATATGTACCCAAAGAGATCGTTTTCTTCATTTAATCCGTCTTCGATTTAATTAAAATTCTAAATTTGAAATATCTTGTAATATTTTAAGAATGTTTAGACCTTTTACAAAAATACATAGTTCGTTTAACAAGATTTTTAAAGCGTGTGTAGTTGTGAAGTTGTTACAATAAATTAGTTATAAAGATTTGACTAAATAGTAGCCTCTAGTAGTATCTTAAGGTGCGTACTGACTTAAACACAATCATTTGTACGAATACAACTTGTACGCAAAAAATGTATGCTCCAATTATTCGTTTTTAGGGGTTCTAGTAGCTACCGAAAACAGTAATATTCATTACATCTAGACATCTAAAATACAAACTTCTTTCGATAAAATTTCGTTCAATCTGAACGAATTTACGACTATACACAAGTGCTCAGGTCAGTACGCCTCTTTATAATACGATATTATTAGTGTTGTTTAGAACATCGTAAGGTACCGTCAATTTGCAGAATAAAAAACTGCACAGGATTTACAGTTAGCAATAACTAACAAATTGTTATTATAAGTCAGTATTAGTCAAATGTGATTATTGTATATAAATTAAATTATTGCATATAGTCACGCGTTTTTTATGTAAGTAAATATGTAAATTATTACGAATGGTGGCTATGTTTGCTCGAAAATTAATTAATTAGCACATATATTTGGGCTTTTCTTTATCTTTCAGTCTTAATTAACAGTGAAATTGGACGCATCCTACGGTAGTACCATAAAATAATAGCATTTATTGATCATACATCAGTACTAGTAGAATTAAATTGTTGTTATATCTGTATTGTAATGTGCAGCAGAAGAAAAAATACATGTTGATAACATTTTCTTTTCATTTTAATTGTTCGTGTAAACGCTAGTTCAATGTCGTTGAATTAGCAATTCGATAAAACAAAATAAAGGACCCAAAATGTTGTCATCATCATAAGGTCGTCAGTCTTAAGACTCCACTCTTTCCTATCCTCAGATAAACTTCGCATTTCCCTAAAACTAGAACAACCCACATCCTTAACTACAGTGGATTTCGAATATAACGACGACGAAGGGACTACCGTAATTTCGTCGTTATATCCGGAAGTCGTTACAAGCAAAGAAGAAGAGATACAGACACGTCTATACAATTTTCACCATTTTTCAATTTTGAAACGATTTGCACCTTTATTTAACAGTAAATGTGCATCTAGGAGTCATACTTATTCAAAAGTTACCTGAAGACAGTTTCTACTCAGAATATCACTTTGTAACTGAACCATTTTAACGTACACGCTTACCTACCTACTTGCTGCTATCTGCGTGGACGTAAACAGAAGATAAGAAAAGCTCTTTGTGCCGGCTGACTCCCATTGCTATATTTACATGGGGTTACTAGGGATTTGTTTCAAATAACTCCTAACTCCTATTTCTGCCTCTAATATGTCTATGACTAGATCTTCATGCCTGAGAAGGTGTCCTACCAAACTATCTCGCCTATTTATTATTGATTTCTCCTATTCTTTCTAATACCTCTGCATTTCTAACTTTTTCTACCCTCGTTATCCTCATCATTCGCCTATAACACCACAATTCGAACGCTTCTAACCTTTTCTTTTCCGCCGTGCCCAGTGTCCATATTTCGCACCCATACAACGCTGCGCTCCAAACATACACTTTTAAAATGTTGTATACGATTCCAATTTTATCAGACTTCTGGAGAGCGTTTTGCCATCATTATAGTCATTTCACGGCTGCAGTCATCTTTAGTGATAAAAAGAACCACTATACATATCATTGGAAAACTATATAAGCATGTTATTTTAAAGGCGCTTCAATGTTGGTGTTGTCATCCTCAACCATGCACCGTGTAGGGATGGATTTTTAGTCAATATAACAAATAACATAAAAATAACAAATGCGAACAATATAAACTTACCATATTAAGGTTGTCGTACAATTGCAGCACAGAATTCCAACTAATGCTTTTCCGAATTTCATTAACCAAAAATAATAATTAATTCACTGCTTATCATAACTAATATTATAAATACGAATGTGAGTGTTAATTTGCTACCATTTCACCCCGATCATCATTATGAAATTTTGTACACACATGTCATGGGTCTACAAAAGGATATAGGATACTTTTCTTCCAGAAAAAAATACCGTTACCGAGAGATAGAAAAATTAGTTTTATGTAGTCGTCGAAGATTTTGACACGTCTTTAGGATATCATTGCGAGCTAAGCCGCGTGTGAAACCTATCATGAAATTTTGTACACACAAATCCAAGAGTTCAGAAAAAGACAAAGGGTACATTTATTCAGAAAAAAAGATACTGTTCCCGAGGGATAGAAATAATTAGTTTTATGTGGTCGTCGATGATCTTTATATTTAGGATACCAATGCAAGCGAAGCTGCAAGTAAAACCTATCATGAAATTTTATATATAGATACCTTGTCAAGGGACATAGGGTATATTTTACCAAAGAAAAAATATTGTTCTCGAAGGATAGAAAAAAAAAATGGTTTTTTGTGGTCGTCGATAATCTTTGACACGTATATAGGACATCAACGCGAGCGAAGCCGCGGGTGAAACATCTTAAAACATTAATTGTTTATTTGCTAACAAAACATAATTCACTAATATTTTTTTGTTTTTGATTAAAGCAGTACGATGTTAACTCACATTTTCAATAATTTCAATTATTTTTTGACTGAAGCTAATGTCATTTTCTACTAATGTTTTTTGGCCTCACGATCACTGTTATCTTCATACGATAAAAGACCTACTTGTTTGTTAGAGACAGATAAGTCGCTATCCACTGTACAATATTAGAACATACACCCACGATAAATACATATGCTTTCGCTTGCCACTAAAAGTAAACTGATTCCATGCTCCCAGTGACTTAACTGTTGACCAAAAATATTGCAGTTGCGTACTAAATCGTGTGCCTGATCACTCAACTCACGTATCTATTGTGGATTAAAACAGTACTAATTCAGATTTGTAATTATTTCAATATTTTTTTTTGTTGGATGTAAAGTTACCTTTTATTAATGTTTTTCAAGGTTTTCGTATTATTTTCAAAGATAAAGGACATTCCTATTCCTTAAAGAGAGATAAGGTTAAATTGAGGTACTTACCTAAAACGTGTTTCGATCCCGAAGGGCCATCCTCAGCTAGAGAATGATTTTTAAATGAATTGATACTTACCTCTTCTTTACTTAAAAGATTTGTACGAACGATAAATAATACTTTTAATAAAATACTTTCTTTATTTTAATAAAAGTAATAAATATTTACATAATTACATGCAGTTTCACGTTCTTAAATTTTAATTGAGCGTTCAACGCGGATTATTACTATCATAATTATATTAATTTATAATAAAGGTTTCATCTCAACGTGTTATAAATAACGTCGTCTGAGTCCGACTGACTAACACTATCACCGTTCGAACCTAGTCTGACGTAGCAATATTCAGGACAGTTTTTAGTTCTCTTACATTCGCACTTCCTTATATTATCACAATTGTTGCATTCATCTTCGCAAATTTCCGCATAAATATTCTCGTCCGCGCCCTTTTCCGAATTCTTTTCGACAACTTCGTCCGCCACATGACTGTAATCAGCGACAACAACCGTTCCAGTAGTCCGAGGAGGTTTGGGTTTTGGTAAGGACTCTTCATGGACCTGGACAAGGACTGATCTGGTAAAGGCGTTTTTAGGTGTTGGCTCGCTATGTTTCCGACTGACTGGCAGTTTTAATCTCTGATCTTCTAATCGCACACTACTTCTAAAATCATCGTTACCATCTAGGAGATTACTTTTGCTACCGCTCTTCTTCTGGATTTTCGTTTTAACGTGAAACTCGGTACAAAGACGATCTGTAATAAATGAGTTTTCAGTGGTGGTGCTTTCTTTCTTTAAAGTTGGAATTAAATCTGGTTTGTTTTTCTTCAGTTTCGGCTGCTGCTGCGATAAAGGCGCGTCTTCAAATGCGATTTCAGTAATGTGGAAATTCATGGTCTTGAGATCTCTTAAGGATTGCCTGTGCGGTGCCTTTAATGGAACGATTGGTTTTTCTTCTTCCAGAATACACAGCTGAATATCGTTGCTTCTCACACTTCGGGAATCTGAAGATGCATTTGATGGTTTTCGAATTATTCTACTGTGGGAATTTTCCGATCTTTGCCCTTCTGGCGATTGTAATTGGAAGTCTAAACTTTGACACTTTAGAAGAGACGGGTTGCTATCGTCTTCTTCTTGAGTTTCTTCCAAGTCCATTCTCTTACCGGAATACATAAAACTAGCTGACTTTTTAACAGGATTGTAACTTTTCTTTCCGAATTTTTCTTCAATAAGTTTCGACATGTCTTTGTATCGTTCTATACTTTTCACTTTTTCCATTCCGTCCATTGGATCTTTGAGATCGGCATACTTTCCGTTGTTTACATTTTCGTTTCCCGCTTGGAATATCTTCAGGTGTTTGTACCATTTTTTCGTCCTCGGGAATTTTTCTAGTACTTCTTTACTAATAATTTGTTTATCGCTAAAGTCCGTATTGGCGTAGTTCTTCATTTGTTGAATGTGTTCATCGGAATCGTGTATTCGTGGTCTACACTGATTGCACATGCTTCCTTGGCAGTTGTCTTTTCTTCGACATCTGTGAGAATTTTGGGTTTCCATATTCGGAACCAGTCGAACTTCCCGATACCACGATTCGACATTTCTATGGCAAAAAGAGAGGGCTGCTTGTAACCTTTGGGACTTAAATAAGCGATTTTCAGAGTCGAATCCCAGTCGACATTTCGTTAATTTAACATCGGAATTCATGTTTATACAATTTATTTCATGTTTTGCGTCTTCCGTTGGCAGTGGTAAGGTGCATGTTACCAGAAGGGGTTCTTGAAATTTCTTTTCCAAAATAAACGTATCTGCAAACATTAGTCAAAATTAAGAAATATATACCTCAACAGTGAGAACTATATTTTTTCACTGTGATCATTACAGTGTCAAGTTGTTATTAAGAAAACATTTCTTCTTACGTTTTAAACTTAGAAAAGAAGATTTTTTGGGCCTCCGGTTGGCATTGTTACTAAAAAAGTTAATAAGAATGAAAAGTGATTGCTGTTTAATGTTAAATCCGAATCCTTTTTTTAATTTTCAACACAATGTTATGCACAATAAGACCTGAGATTTAAGTGAAAGATGGAAAATATTTTCATTTGAAAATTCTTTTAACTTTTCTCTGAAATACTTTTTCTATCGATTTGATTTTTCAGTTAAAAGCATAAAGAGTGATTAGTCAAATTAATCTAGGTTAATAAGCAAAGAACTATTATTTTTGCTTCACTTTTAATTGCCAATACTAAAAAAAAGTCGCTGCAAGGAAGACATAAAAATGTCTTTTTAAATTACTTAATATCACGGATAATTGAAGAAAACGATTTAATTTAATATTTCGTTTAATTCGTTTTCTTTAAAAATGCTGTTTTAATTTAGTAGCCAATTTTCGATCATATTTCTCTGGTACCTGCATATAGTTATGAATGAAATTTCAACAGAAGTAATTTCTTAATAAGCAGTAGTAAACTGTTTAAGTATGTACATAAATTATTTCTACCGGTTATCGAAAATGAGGTATAAAATCATTTATCAATTTTCATGCTGCTATGTCATTTGTAGCGTAACTAACGTTCCTACATAAATAATAATTAAGTAAGTACATGTTTGGAAACTGTATTTAGTACGTTTATAAGTATTTCGACCTATTTTTTATGTAACGCTGCGTCCACGACATTAATTATTATCCTTTTAAAACTGGATAATCGAATCTTTTATTTCAACATGGACGTTATTTATTAAATTGCTGGAAATATAGAGTAGTTGGATCACAAATTTTGGTAATTGAATTTTTGTTACTTTATATTCCTAATAATTAATGGTAGAAGGCTTTACTTGTTAAAACTCCATAATCAATTAAATGAAACGAAAGTAAAGTTTATTTATTGGAATGTGGGGACTGTAATCAAGTCTATGTGGGACAAACTGGTAGATCCTTCAATCAAAGGATTACAGAACACAGGAGGAGCTATACTAATGGGAACGCTGATTCTACTATGCAGAACATTTATAAAAGGAATAACATACTTTTAAAGATAATTTTTAAAATTTAAAAGAATTACCTAAAAGCCATAAATTAAACCTACCTGAAAGTCGTTATATTAATAAATACAATAAATTAAATATTTTACTAAATGATCAAATTGATGTAAAATCCATTATTAAATTTAAATTTGTCTTCAAAAACTTAATATCTTACGTTGTCCCTCCCTTTCGTTGTTTCCACCCATAAAATTTGTAAACTTTTAGTATTTATGCTAATTTTGTAACAATTTTAATCAGAATATCTTCACCTGAAGAAGCCCATGATATGGTGAAACAATTGTTGTGAACAATTAATACATATACTTATAAGAACGAAAGCTTTCACGGCCGGAATCTATAATAGACAGTCGCTGTCAAGACTTCGAGATATAATCTACGTTCACGTTGTCAACGCAGCACTACCACTGAAGATGTTAGCCGCAGTAGCCGACGAAACGTCTGGACAGAATAGTTCACTTAGACCACGGCCCTATTGCCCGAATCTTTATTCTACAAATTAATATATATTTTTGAAACTTTACTTTCGTTTCCTTCAATTTATATACCAAAGTACAAAAATATCCCTACATATATGGTATCCCAAAGTTGATGTAGAAAATGACCTTTTTATATATTCAACTAGTACCAACACCTTTCAGAACGTTCTTTAATGGAAAATTATATAAAAGGAACAAACCTGTAAACTCCTTCGGTACTCCTTGAGGAAGAGGACCAACTAATAGTTTAACCTTTACAGGAAGAGCTATCCTCCTAAGCAAATGGGTTATCTTGTATAAACAGTCTTTATCCAAAGCCAGTGGTCCCGTTTTGTCCAACATTCCAGGGAAGCAAAGACGTGCCTTCATTGAAGTATAAATTTCATAGAATTCTCCCTTCGTTGTTAACGGTACGTAGAATTCCTGAATAAATAACAATAATTTGCAATTATTTGTCCACAAACATATATAATATTACCTAGTGCAGGTTGTGATGTAGTTATACTAATAAAAACAAATTTTTCTTGGTTAGTACTTTATTAAAATTGCTAATTGTGAATCGTGAATTCGATTTTAATTGATCTCATCAGCACGCCATAGGCAATCTCCACAAATCATCTCGAAACCGAAGGTGCCTCTTGTAAGCATTATATGTAATAATATCGACTTAGTTGTTATTTTGATTCAGTTGCACAAGACCCTTGTCTTACTTCANTGTATTATATTCAGCAGTAAGTGATAAAAAAGGAGCAACGGTCAATTTGAAATTGAAATGCTGGTACTTTCCTAAGTTACTGGTGGCACTTGGGCGCGTACACAGAAGCAGTAAACAAAAAATAAAACCGTTTAATATATAAATTAGAAGCTCGAGGCCAATTCTGGTGCCATTTTTAAACATAACTGTTCCAAACCAGTGGTTATTATTAAAAGTTTCACATAAACGGGCAGAGAAAAGTTACACTGTCCTAATAAATTCACATTTTTTGTTACGCAAGCGTGAGGAAATTCCTTTTACGAATAGAGACAAACCGTAGTTCGTAATATTGCAAATGATATTTATAAAACGTGCATTTTATTGCTAAACATGTTGCAGAAAATGTCAAAAATAAGTGAATCTGTAATGAAAAGTAGTTATGCTTCTATTCTACGTAGATGTACATGCCTAAGTATCGAAAGAAAGGGAAAGCAAAATTGTTGCAATTTATTATGATTTGTAAATCATCGTTTAAGAAAATTAGAAGAGGTACTTATTGTTAATAATTAAAGTAAATTGTAAATATGTATTTGTTTCCATAAGCGAATGTGTTGTTCGTTCACGGTATACGGAGCTGCAGCGTAATTATGTGTGGTTTCCATCATACACAGTTTATTCTAGTGTATATGCTTCTGGGTGTAGACATCAGTTCGTCTAATGAGAAATTCTGCAGTCGCGAACTTACCTGATTATTTTGGCCGATGAGTTGTGCATAACGGTTGGCCAAATCTTTATCTCTCGCAGATCGTGACAATCGTGATGACTTGGTGGAATGCCTGCCTCCGTCGTACTTGTCGCGATGCTGGAACACAGCCCTGAGCTGAAAGACTTGACCGCCACGAATCTGAGTCTTTAAGTATTGAGTTTTCCCTGTTCGGCTATCTGCAATCAACGAAATACATTAATAATAATGGGAACGAACAGTTGGCATCATGCTTTTGATCATTCGAATAATGTTTATTTATTCAGTGAAAAAAATTTTAACGAAGTGCAACGATATTGCTAATGGAATCCACTTGTACTTGTAAAAATAAAATACAAATTGTATTGGCAAATTTCACACTTTGTGTTGCTCGTAAAGATTTCATCCCCAAAATCTGATTGGTTTTTAAAATAGCGTGGCTGTTTCTAGCCAAGTAAAATGCAAATGAATCTAATATTTTGAGAACTACTGAATCTATTTTGATGTGGTTGAAACCATTCTTTATGTTTAGGTATAATAGTTTTGTTTTAACACAACCTAACTAACAAAATTTCAGTTGTACAAATTGAATGCTTTTTACGTACCTAATGGATCATGGTTACTGGCTGTATATCCTGAGAAAGATTGTACACTTAAAAAAGCGCACACTTGATCTCTCACAAGCTGCAGAATAGTTGTATGGGTTACGGCACATTTTTCTCCTTTATCGTTCGTTAAAGAAAACCAACCTGAAAATAAAAAACACAAAAGTATAGTAACTGTTTGTTACGTTTCTTACCTCATTAACCAACTGTGTTGTCGACAGAATAATTTTATAATGGGGAAAACTCAGAAATGACCTTTTAAGATGGGAAGATCAAATATTTTTTTCCAAAAACACAAGTTTTGTGATAACTGATTTTTTTAGTCTAATAATAATACTCTCTAATATCCTTAAGAATATCTACCAAGGCATGCAGGTGTAGTACATTGGTCAATACGACGCGATTTCTTTCCTGTTCCGGAAGGATGGAGAGCGTTAGACATGTAAATTTGCCTTCACTGGGGATTTATTGAGTATATTAAAACCATTTAGAGTATTCTAGAGAGAGCTCTAAGCACTTGCAGTGATTTTATATAGTTTATTACACAAAAATATCTTTATTTATAGTAAAAGAATAATTAATTACATTATTATCATCATAAAGTCGTCAGTCCTAAGACTGGTTGGACACGCACCTCCACTCTTTCTTATCCTGCGCTAATTTTCTGATATCTTCTTAAATCATCTGACATCTTCCACGTATAGCGCCTTCTAACGTGTTGGTTGAATAAAGTACTTGCGACGGTTAAGTTATGTTTATCGCAAAAATCTATCAATCTATCTCTCCTATCATTTCTATTGCCTAATCCAAAAGAACCTGCTATTGCACCGCCTTTACCTTCACTATTACAACTATTAGGTTTTCCTGCCCTTCCACTAAACTTAACACGTCTTCTATATTTGCACAAACCGCTTCTTCATCTTCATCAGTGTAAGATGATGCAGGCATGTAGGCCTGCATTAATACCGTTTTTACCAGCTTTGAGTTTAATTTAACCATAACTATGCTATCGCTTTTTGTAAATAACTTTGTCCTGCTGTCCTACGCATTACAATTCCAACCCCCGAATTACCTTCCACTGATCCTATATGTATTATTCTAAAGTCTTTATTCCAGATGTCCAACGGACATCACTAATGCCTACTATATCTAATTCTAATCTATTCATCTTAACTTTCAACTTTTCCAATTTCCCTACTTGCCTCATTGTCCTAATATTCCTCGTTTCGACTCGTGAAATATTGCACCTACCCCTATCTCTGCCGCCCTGAGTACGTAAAGAGCTGCTGCCCTCTTTCAGGGACTTGTCTTAGTCTGTAAAGGTACTAATAGACATTATATTTATTTTATGTTTATCCAGAACTTCATCTGAATAGACGTAAAAATTGTTGGGTTTTGTAAAAACCATTCAACTTCGTAACTGTTGTTTATATACGTGGGTATGAACAAAGAGCGGTTTTATTCAAATTTACCTCGAAGTTGGTCATTAGCTAAAGAGATTGCTCCTTATCGGTAATACATGCGTTTTAATTGTTATCGGTTATAATGGTAAAGTGGGCAGTGCGGTATAGACTCGTTGCGGTGGCTAATAGTGTGCAGAAATGTAATAAGTGTATCTACCAGTGTTTATAATATAGGTACATGTATGCATAAGGGCGCGTGTGTTGCTAAAACTAAAATGCACTTTTGTTTAACGATGCGTATCGTACCGAAACGGCACACAAACCATTGCCCGAGAATGCACCGCATGCGTGTGTAACAAGTGTTGTACTTTTCCAGATGATCGCGTCAACTAGTCTTATAAGAAATTGCTCAAATGCACTATAGTCTATGGGTAGTTATATGGGTCAGAAATTAGCGATTCGTTACACGTAGCTACTCATACTCATGTATCTATCAATACTAATTTTCGGCCAATGCTGTCGATGATCAACACTAAATTATAAAAAATACGTTTTTGGTTAGTAATTTGGAGAAACTACCAAATAGTGAGGCATCTCGCCAGCTTTTTTGCAGAGAAAAAATAAAAATGTAAACCATAAATATACATATAACACCTCATAACTCAAAACCCCTTAACATATTAACGCCGGATAGTGCAGCCGCATTTCCAATTAGAAGTATTGGTATCCCGCTAACGCGTTAAATTCGGTGATAATATTAGTGTATTACGCACCTAGGAAGCAAACACAAATAATGTTTTAGTCCGAATATGTATTTCCTACCGTTTGCTATTTTTGGGATCACAGTTTCGTAGAGTTTAAGAATCATTTAACCAAAGACGTCTTGAGTTCCGTGAAAATAAAAATTTAAAGCTTCAAGTAACTCAAAACACCTGCTTGGACACACACCTCCACTCCTTCCTATACCTAGCTAATCTTCGCATTTTCCTAAAACTAGAACATCCCACAACAATTTGCGAACAGTAATCTAATATAGGTCCACCTCTACTCGTCCTAACTCCTGTTTCTGTCTCTAATATGTCTCTGACTAGCCCTCCATGCCTGAGAAGGTGTCCTACCAATTTATCTCACCTATTTTTTATTGACTTCCGTAGAGTCCTCTGTTCATCTATTCTTTTTAATACCTCTTCATTTCTAACCTTCTCTATCCACGGTATCCTCATCATTCGCATGTAACACCACATTTTGAACGAATATTTCTTAAGCTGATAATAAATTTTTATACAGCCACCATATCTTGAGGGTGTAATTTCAAAATTATTGCATTTTTAGGTGCCGAAAATGAGACCATCAACAGCGATCCACCGGTGAGTCGTTCTGCCGGCAAATTATTAAGTTAATGCGACTCACCGATGAGTCGCTTTTCCAATTAACAGTATCACCACCGACGCCTCTCTGACTCGCCCTGTCGCTAGCGTGTTAGGTTTCGTGGTAACATTAGTATTCCGCATATTAACTTTCTCTCATATGCGCCATTTTTCACCACCTCTCGGGCTTTCTTTGATCTTAAGTAATAGATAATTTTGCATCATTAAATGAAAACGCCGTAAAATAGTGTTATGTGGGGTAAAGTTTATTCAAGGTGGCCTAGCACACTGACCAGAAATTGCAATGCTTGAATTATGGTTTACCCGGGTCCACCATTAGCTCCGTCCTTCTACCAGAGCAGTTCCTACACATAGTATATACTTACAGAAAATATCTACAGATGGCGACCTGCTGTCTGAGTACGCTTATTTATTAATTTTACTAGTAACTCAGGTATGTCCGTCACGGGAATCGAGTTTCGCAGATTTTTGCTGTTTTTTCCGAGTGTGGTTTAAGTTTCCTCCAAAAATCAGCCCCCGAAACGTATAATTACAATATTACAATTAAAACAATATTCTTTTTNCTAACATGATTATTTGATATTAATTTCAACTTGGTATCTCCACGCGTTCCTGAGAAAAAGGGTCTTGACATCGACAGACAGACATAAGTAATCCTATAAAGGTTCTTTTTTCCTTTTGAGATATGAAAAGTAAACCCCAAAAATATCGTAACCTATGTCTAGTTGTTACGACAAAATGTTGACTAAGCATATATTATTCTACTTAAATCTATTTACGTACCTTAACAAGCAGTTAATAGCTACGCCGTGGGTTTACTTTAATCACTATTAATTAAAAATGAATGAACCCACAATAAATAACAGATTTCTAAAAATTGCGACGTACTGCCTATGTATAGTTATTTACGAGGTACTATATAAAACTAATTATCTTAATCCTTTTAAAATTCAATAGGGTTTAGGTACTATCCTGTGATATTCTGAAAATTCGTCAACACGAAACTTGTGACGTGCAAAATTAATAATGAATTTGCTACTGTATTGTTTATGGATTCTAATAATACAGAACACTCTACAATACAAAAATTTTCAGTAATTTAGTACTTCTCAACGTTAATGTTAAATGTAACTATATATATTATATAAATATGCAGATAGGTCTAATTATTTCATATAATCGATTTTGTCGACCATCATTTCAATGAATCGATGTTGGAATTGATATGGATAATTGCGATTACGTCCTCTAATATTGATATAAGAAGCTTCTAAATATATTATCTNATTAATCTAGGTTAATAAGCAAAGAACTATTATTTTTGCTTCACTTTTAATTGCCAATACTAAAAAAAAGTCGCTGCAAGGAAGACATAAAAATGTCTTTTTAAATTACTTAATATCACGGATAATTGAAGAAAACGATTTAATTTAATATTTCGTTTAATTCGTTTTCTTTAAAAATGCTGTTTTAATTTAGTAGCCAATTTTCGATCATATTTCTCTGGTACCTGCATATAGTTATGAATGAAATTTCAACAGAAGTAATTTCTTAATAAGCAGTAGTAAACTGTTTAAGTATGTACATAAATTATTTCTACCGGTTATCGAAAATGAGGTATAAAATCATTTATCAATTTTCATGCTGCTATGTCATTTGTAGCGTAACTAACGTTCCTACATAAATAATAATTAAGTAAGTACATGTTTGGAAACTGTATTTAGTACGTTTATAAGTATTTCGACCTATTTTTTATGTAACGCTGCGTCCACGACATTAATTATTATCCTTTTAAAACTGGATAATCGAATCTTTTATTTCAACATGGACGTTATTTATTAAATTGCTGGAAATATAGAGTAGTTGGATCACAAATTTTGGTAATTGAATTTTTGTTACTTTATATTCCTAATAATTAATGGTAGAAGGCTTTACTTGTTAAAACTCCATAATCAATTAAATGAAACGAAAGTAAAGTTTATTTATTGGAATGTGGGGACTGTAATCAAGTCTATGTGGGACAAACTGGTAGATCCTTCAATCAAAGGATTACAGAACACAGGAGGAGCTATACTAATGGGAACGCTGATTCTACTATGCAGAACATTTATAAAAGGAATAACATACTTTTAAAGATAATTTTTAAAATTTTAAAGAATTACCTAAAAGCCATAAATTAAACCTACCTGAAAGTC